ACCTTTATGCATTGTATTATGCATGAAGGTAAGAAGCCTTCTGTGTGTAGCAGCCCCTCCAGCCATCCCTAACACCTACCTGAGCCCCTCTCAGTCCAGCGATGTCCATGAGAGCCTCGGTTCTCCAGGGACTCTCACTTCTGATTGGCTGAGGCAGGCCAATGGCTGTCAATCACAGCCAGTGAGACAATCAGGAGAGGAAGGGGATGGGGCCGAGCCATGTCTCTGTGTTGTGAATGGACACACAGAGCCACGACTTGGAAGCATGCCTGCTCAGGTGCTCCCATAGCAAGCTGCTTGCTATGGGGGCACCCGACAGGAGGGAGGGGCCAGGAGCGCTGGCGGGGGACCCAAGAAGAAGAGGATCTGTGCTGCTCTGTGCAAAACCACTACACACAGCAGGTAAGTAAAACAAGTAAAACAAGTAATATAAAGTATGTCTATATCAGGAATAGGTAGCAGGAGGGCTGTCAGCATTGTCAGTACATTACGGGGGACAAGAGCTGTGGCCATACACTCAGAAGGGAGGTGGGAATTAGTGCAGCGACTTACCTTTTACCTTTTAATTTTCATTTAACTGCTCTGTACTCAGAACCGCATCTCAGGGCCGCAGTGTAAATGATAAACCTTCCTACCAAGGTTTTTTTTCAGAGAATAGGTGCAGAAACTCATCCCCAAACACTGGGAGGGAGCATGATGCATCAATTGGTGGGTGTGGTCAAATTGCACAGTGGGGGGGGGGGTTCTTAAAAGGGCATTAAATAGTAGAAGTGCATTCTATACAGAGTGCAGAGTTCAAGAGTGTACTACATACAAAGTGCAGGGCTTAGGAGTGCCATACCTACAGAGTGCAGTGTTTAGGAGTGCACTACATACAGAGTGCAGGGCTTAGGAGTGCACTACATATATGGTGCAAGGTTCAGAAGTGCACTACATACATGGTGCAGGGTTTAGGAGTGCACTACATACAGAGTGCAGGGCTTAGGAGTGCACTACATTACATGGTGCAGGGTTCAGGAGTGCACAATGTACAGAGTGCAGGGTTTAGGGCTGCACTACATACACAGTACAAAGTTCAGTAGTGTACAATGTACAGAGCTCAGGAGTGCGCTACATACATAGTACAAGGTTTAGTAGTGCACAACGTACAGAGTGCAAGGTTCAGGCGTGCACTAGATATAGAGAGGGGTTCAGGAGTGCACTACGTACAGAGAGAAGGGTTCAGGAGTGAGCTACATGCACAGTACAGGATTCAGGAGTGCACAACATACAGAGTGCAGGGTTCAGATGTGCACTACGTACAGAGTGCAGGGTTCAGGAGTGCACTACATACAGAGTTCAGGGTTCAGGAGGTCCCTACGTACAGACAGCAGGGTTCAGGAGTGCGCTACATACAGATTGCAGGGTTCAGGAGTGTGCTATATATAGAACGCACAGTTCAAGACTGTGCTATGTGCAGAGTGCAGGGATTAGGAGAGCGCTACATACAGAGTACAGGATTCAATGTTCAGAAGTGCAGCATTCAGGAGTGTGCTAGTGTCAGTGTGCTGGTGGAGAATGCTGGTGCCCGCATTCTCCACCATATGTAGAGCTGTACAGCACACTGACACTCGCTTCCTTCTGTTTTTTAAGGGTTTTTAGCCCAATTTTATTTAAAGGAAAGTTCCATAACATGTTTACCACGCAGGGGTATCCACCGTCAAAATAAATTAAACACATATTCAGCCTCCTGGCTTGTACACAGATTTCTGCCACTCTGGCCTTGCACTTTAGGCTCACAGCTGTCTCTTACAGACTCCTTCAAAATGTTTTTTTAGCACACAGCTGGCAGCCTCTTGCTGCTCTAGCTCCCATATCTCCTAGGTGGAGCCCTGCTGACTCCTGGGCAATGACCTCCTGTCTGCCGGGGTGGAGCCCAGAACCCAACATGGTCCCAGGATTGGAGATTTCATCCCTCCCAAATCACTTAGAAATCTTCAGGCCCCAGGTCCCAAAACAGGCTTTACAAACCAAAGAGGAAACTGATAAACCAGTTTCCTCTGCATTAAGAGAACTGCCTGGAGCCCCTCAACCTGTATAGTTGAGAATCCTGGGTTATCACCGTGATTTTCACCGTGGCAAGATACCACACTGCCACACCATATGAATTTTTTAGCATTTTTTTGAGACAGATAAAACTTTATTTTGGTGGTACTTATTCACCACTGGGATTTTTTTTTTTGCTATATAAATGAAAAAGTCCAAAAATTTTGAAAAAAAGTATTTTCTTATAAAATTTTGCAAATTAATAATCTTTATTCATAAATCTTGGCAAACATTTATTCAGTTATCTTTTTAATAGAAAAAAATTACCCAAATTAGTTTATAACCAAAAATTATAATTTTTTTACATTTTTATTTATTTTTTTTAGATTATTATTTATGGGTTTTGTTTACATACTTTTACCCTAGCACAGGGGTCTGCAACTTTTAAGACATAAAGAGCCACTTGGACCCGTTTTCCGAAGGGAAAAAAAAGACTGGGAGCCGCAAAACCATTGCAACATTTAAAACAAATCCGACACTGCATATATTGTTTCTTACCTTAATGCTATATACAGGATCGTGCAGTTAGCTTCATCCCCCATATAGTAATTCATCCCCCATAGTAATTCATCCCCCCCATAGTAATTCATCCCCCATAGTAATTCATCCCCCATATAGTAATTCATCCCCCATAGTAATTCATCCCCCATAGTAATTCATCCCCCATAGTAATTCATCCCCCATATAGTAATTCATCCCCCATAGTAATTCATCCCCCATAGTAATTCATCCCCCATGTAGTAATTAATTCCCCATATGGTCTCAATTCACTTACCTTTGCTCCGCGCGTTCCTCTTGCTGTGTTCCCGCGCTGTGTTTCGGTCTTCAGGGCGGACTGTGAGAGGAGAGGAGTTCGTCACGCTGCCCCGCCTACACATCCTGGCTGCCCCGCCTACATCCTGACAGCCAATGTTCCACGCTCCGCGGGCCGGATTAAAAGAGTCCTGACTTTTGAGGCGGCCGCGCCCGAGAGGAGGGAGGGGAGCGGGCGCCCGGCACACAGAAGAGCCGCATGTGGCTTGCGATCCGCGGCTTGCTGATCACTGAAACCCTATTGCCTGTCACCTGGTGGGCAGTGTGCTCCGGAGCCGCAGCAAAGATGAAAAAGAGCCGCATGCGGCTCTGGAGCCGCGGGTTGCCGACACCCGCCCTAGCAGTACAGTGTCACCGCAGTGACACTGTACTACTTGTAGGGGGTGATAAAGATTTTTTTTTTTTTACCTTGATTGCTTTTACACCCATAAAGGCTGTAAAAGCAATCATTTCTCCTTCTCTCTGGCTGCATTATTGCAGCCATTGAGAAACACTGTGAGAGCTGTGATTGATCACAGCTTGTCACATGGTACAAAACTGTTGTAAATAGCTATGTGACCTCCGTGATCATTCTCAGATTTCACTAGTAGTAAGCAATGATGTCAGAAGTGACATCTTGCTTACTACTATTCATGTGATCACTGATTGGCCAATCAGTGATCACATGATTGGGACCTCACACAAAGGTTCCATACAGATATGTGTTCCGCTGTGTCCGGAGTCCCAGAGAGCGCGCACAGGCTATAAATGCGGGCGCCATTTATGAACGGCAACCCGCTCCTGCACTGCTCCCTTACGGCCATTTATGCACACGGGCCAGCCAGGAGGTGGTTCATTTTTAATATTAAAAAAATTAAATATAATAAAGCAAACTCCCCCATTCATCCATGTCTCCATGCTTCATTTAGCTGAGGAATCATTTAGAAAAACACCTCCTAGCATTTCTGGCTGTGGCCATCTTGACTGAGGGCAGATGATTCATACAGCATTTACTTCATGGAATCCATCTGCCCTTAGCTCAAGAATGCAGGCAGGAGGGCATGCTTAGCTAAGAAAACCCCTCCTCCCCTCTTGCGGACTCCTGGGATGTATGACATCATTTGCCTTGGCATTGAAATCAGAAAGTAACTGAAGAAATGTGAAAAAACAGTTTGAAACAAGTAAATATGATATACTTTCCTATCTATTTAATAATTCTAGCAGCACAAGGATTCAAAATAGTCCATGTTGACTGAGAAAGTGAAGTTCCACTTTAATCCCCGCATAGGACGAAACGCGTTGGAGGGGGTTCTCCGATGGGTGGAGGGGGTTCTCTGACGGGTGGAGGACATGAGCTGAAACCATTTTTACCTACTTTTTGTTTACACGTTAATCGCTGTATGCCAAGACGGGCACCATTTTTTTGCCTAGGAACACCCGCTCCCCCAAATCAACAATTGCTAATGAAGTTCCCTAGGTGATATGTGGAGCGGCAGGGCGTTGTATAGTGTCTAGAAGAGAGTTCACTTGACCATGAGGCTTTTGGAGAGCTGACCAGGATATGAAAGGACAGCATTCGTTACCATGTGTGCTGATTAAGCGACAAAACCCATTTTGCCCAGCGAGAGAAGCACAGGGTAACTATTTGAACATTCTAATAACTGATATATATGGACATTTTTTTTTAGCAAGGTTTAGGTCGTTTTGATTGACTGCATATGTGTGTGTGGGCAGGTTCAGTATTTCCTCAGTAAATGTTATCTTATTCAACTCTCTGTACAACTTTATAAGTCTTTATTAGGTATAGATACTTATTTTTTACACCTTGCTCTGTGTGAAGGCCTATGATTGCTGTACAACCCGAGACAACGTAAAACAGAAAGAGAGGGTGGGAGGGATGGAGAGAAGATACATGGGCAGAGAAAGGGCAAAGAAGACACACAGACACTTATATAAAACAGACACTTTGCTGTAGATTCCCTCCTACATGTGGAAAAAAAGGATTCAATTCTGACACTTTCATACAGGAACCTCTTCTCCCTTGTGCGAATTGAGGTGGGAGTTAAGGTAGGATTTCCTCGAAAACCGTTTCCCGCATTCAGAACATGAAAACGGACGATTACCCGTGTGGATTCTCTCATGTCTGACCAGGGCTGACTTATGCGTAAAACATTTCCCGCACTCTGAGCAAGAATACGGCTTCTCTCCCATGTGAGTTCTCTGGTGTCCAATAAGATGCGACCTGCAAGAGAAGCCTCTCCCACATTCAGGACATGAATACGGGTGGTCACCGGTGTGGACCCTCTGGTGCTGGACCAAATTCGATTTATTGGTAAAACCTCTCCCACATTCAGAGCACGAATAGGGTCTGTCACTGGTGTGGATTCTCTTGTGTCTAGCAAGATCTGGACCATCGGTGAAGCATTTCCCACACTCAGAACACAAATATGGCTTTTCCCCCGAGTGAATTCTCTGGTGTCTCACCAGAAGTCTCCTCCATGAAAAAGACTTCCCGCATTCAGAACAGGAATAAGGCTTCTCCTCCTTGTGAGTCCTCTGATGCGAAAGAAGGTAACCCTTCTGGGAAAAACTTTCCCCACAGTTAGAACAGGAAAACGGCTTCTCGGCTGTGTGCGTTTTTTCATGTGTAGAGAGGTTGGACCTGTCCGTAAAACACTTGCCGCAATGAGAACATGAATACGGCTTCTCCCCGGTGTGAACTCTCTCGTGTGTTATGAGAGAGGACTTCCAAGAGAAACACTTCCCACATTCAGAACAGGAAAATGGCTTCTCCCGTGAGTGAGTCCTCTGATGTTCAATGAGTTTGGTTCTCTCGGTAAAACATTTATTACAATCAGAGCACAGAAATAATCCACCAGGAAGACTCTTCCCATGAGTAGATGGATCAGATGAGTGATCACCAGTGTGAGCTTCTGGATGAAGCTTCTTAGAAACAGGGTTGTTTCCTGAAGAACTGGTGTCATTGTTATTTGTTTCACCATTTGAAGTGACAATGGGACATTTCCTCAAGCTAGTCCTAATGTATCGCCCATCTGGAGAAAAGGTAAAGAACAGAATTGCTTGTAATAAAAGACTACAGTTGAAAGAAACGACAAGATTTTGAGATCAAAGAGTCGATGGCTCAAGATAAATTGAACATGCTTAGCACCATATTTAAAGCCAAACTCCAGGCACAAAAAAAAAATTTTTCCATGCAGTTAGGGCTGTACCCACATTCCACAGGTCGTTTTTTGTCAAGGGCAGCCATCATGGAAGAAAAATATATTTGAAATATATTTTAAAAATATTTTCCCCAAATATATTGACATATTTGAAATGCTACAATTTTGGCCATATTCAATATATTTCAAAATATATTTCAATAATAAATATATATATATATATATATATATATATACACATATATAAATACTGCATGTTGAAATGCGTTTCTGAAAAATATTTTTTAAAATATATTTCAAATATACTGTATGTCTTTAAAAATACACATCTACATTTTTGGAATGCATTTACAAATATATGTAAAAATAAATGTTAAAATGACTTTTTTATATGTTGAAAAAAATCTATTTTTTTTTTATATTTTTCATATATTTTGCAATATATAAAAAATTAATTTCAACATGCAGTATATATATACTGTATATATATATATATATATATATATATATATATATATACATATATACATATGTATATATACTACAGGCTACATTTTATTTTTTTTTAAGTTGGTGCCCCAGGTATTAAAAAAAACAGCTCAAGCTACAATACTTTCCTTCAACCCTGAGCTGTCTCCCACAGTATGTGCTCAATCCACTGGATTGATGGGCATCATTCAACCCACAAGAATATACCTTGGATTAGGAAGATATCCTCTTGTGTGTTGAATGATGCCCATCAACCCTGTAGATGGAGCACATAGGAAGATATCCTCTTGTGTGCTGAATGATGCCCATCAACCCTGTAGATGGAGCACATAGGAAGATATCCTCTTCATTCACAGTGAACTGTGCAGATAGTGACCCTGGCAACATCAAGTCATTGCAGCTCTCTCCAACAGTAAGGACTGCTCAGTCCATGGAAGAGGAAGAAGACCCTGCAGCGTCACATGACTGAAGACTTTTTGAGAAGGTAAGTATTAAAACAAAAAAAGCATTAAATACTACCAGTTGGTGGCCTCAAGAGGGGAAAGCACCAAACCAAGTGTTGGCCTTTAAAGTGGAACTAAAGTCCCACAACACAAAACTGTGAGCAGGCAGGATTTTATTGCAGAAGACACATGCACTGTCTCTTCTGCAATTAAATTCCCCTATTACATGCTCACCATCCCCTCCAGCACAGTCAACTGAGCTGCGTGAGCTTACAGTGCCAGACCAGTCTTCGAGTGGCGAGATATTTTGTAATATATAAAAAACGCATTTCAACATACAGTATATATATATATTGAATATGGCCCAAATTGTAGTATTTCAAATATATGTCAATATATTTGGGAAGAATATTTTTAAAATATATTTAATATATAATATATATATATTTCTTCCATGTGGGCATAGAGGCATGATGTTGATGTAGTGTTGGTGTGCACAGGCTGTATTGTAGCCTTTCCTTACAGGGATGTTTATGGAGAGGCACCTGTCCTAGTACCGGGAGGTATTATCTATCAGAGGAGGAGAGTCCCCCACCACTATTGCTGAGGAGGATCCCACGGTTTTTGGAGGAGCAAAAAGAGGCACATTGGTCCTGAGGGGCCTGGGCAGGAAGGTGAGGGGGCACCCCTGTCACTGTGGATTCACACTCAGTTTGGAGCACTTGCATGAAGATTTGTTGTGTTTTACTTATCAGGACACTTAAGGACTTATTGCTAATGTTACTGGGAGTGATCACAATACCATATTCTTATAAGGGATAAGATATATTATTGGAATAGCATATATCATAGGTTCTTTTGTAGCGCTGCACTGTTTTATGTTTTTTATTTTCTGACTGTGTTTGGTGCCTTGGCTGTGGCACTTAAGTGCTGGCTGCTTAGCATTGGTACGTTATAATAGCGCAGGGGGTACTATATATCAATCTACCTGACTGACACATGTTAAAGGGGATTTCCTGATAGGTGGAGCGCCAGCTAAAGCCATGTTGCGATCATTTGTTTTGTAATCCGCTATATTGGTGAGCAGTCCTGGGAAACATTTGTAAAGATCCCCATATGGAAGAAAAAAATATATTTTAATTATATTTTAAAAATACATTCTTAATATATTCTTCCCAAATATATTGACATATATTTCAAATACAAAAATTTTGGCCATATTCAATATATTACAAAAATATATTTGTAAATATATTATTAAAAATATATTCAGAACACACACTGCGATATACATCAAAGTGTAATTTGGAATGCATTTACAAGTATATTTAAAAATCTATGTTTAAATGCATTTTTTTTAGATGTTCAAAAATATCTGGAAAATATACTTTGAAAAATATATTTTTAAATATATGCCTTTAGAAAATATATTTTATTTTACATTTTTGGAATATGTTAAAATATATTCGCGTAGGCCAATATATTGTAAATATATGTTGCATGTATAATTTTTTTTTACTAAATATATTGAAAATATATTTCTCTTCCATATGGGTCAAAGTGCCACATTCTTTGAGGCCAACAATTCTGTGCCTACACTGCAATAAAAATGACTGGCTATCCTAAAAATATAAAACATATTTCTATGATTTTTTTTGTCTTTGGATAACCCTCTAGACTGCTCACCTCCCTGATCTAAAAAATGTCCTGAACTTTATGGCTTTCTATAATATGAGCTGAGCAGAGGGCATGATGGGGATTCACAGACATTAGCTACCCATCAGGTCTGCTGCCCTTGTGTTTGACAGCAGGCAGTGGTCAGATCCTTAGCCAATGGACAACCTGCTATTGGCTACAGAATCCATCCATTGCCTGCTGTCAATTACAAGGTGGGAGCAGACCTGAGGAGGAAATAGCGTCTCAACTTAATAAGGATGGAAATCATGATTGGGCAACAATTTTTTCCCTTTGAGAGAAGTTAACATATATAAAGTAAGTAGCCAATCCAGTCATTTTCAAAATCGGCCATCTTATATCTATGGTTATTTCTGGAGATAGCACAAAGAGAATCCGAGAATCATTTCCATAATTCACATTCATTACTCACCTCGGTTGATCTCTGGAGGAATTTCCTCCTTACACGGCTCATCTTCACTCACATACGTTTCATCTGCTTCCTCTTTCACTTCAACTTTAACAACGATCAAATTTTCATCCTGTGTAACACATAACGAGATAAGGACTGAACAGAACCTCATCGTTGGGTTAGGCCAACTAAATCTGTGCATACATCAGAAGACTCTGAGGACAGGTCCTTCACCTAGAACAGTGGTTCTTAACCTGGGTTCGATCGAACCCCAGGGGTTCGGTGAGTCAGTCTCGCGGGTTCGGCGGAGGTGAAGACCCACACCCGACTCATATGATTCGTGATGACATGCCCCGCTTGTCCATCATTGGCTGCAGGTGGTCACGCAACATCGCTTAGCCCAGTGGTCGGCAAGCCGCGGCTCTCTACACGCTTTAATGCGGCTCTTGTGTGCCGGGCGCCCGCTCCCCTCCCTCCTCTCGGGCGGCAGGGACTCTGCAGCGTGATCCAAAAAAAAAAAAACAGCCAGGGCAGCGCGCTCAAATGCAATGATTGGCCAGTCTCGCTGCCACTCACATCCTGATAGCCAGTGATTGGCTGTCAGGATGTGTGTAGGCGGGGCAGCGTGATGAACGTGAGAGGAGCTAGTCTCCTCTAACAGTCCGCCCTGAAGACCGGAACGGCGCGGGAATACGGCGAGAGGAACGCGCGGAGCAAAGGTAAGTGAATTGACACAGGGGGGACTTGGCTTACTACTTGCTACTTACTTACTACTACTATATAAGGGATGAATTAATATGGGGGATGAATTACTATAGGGGGGATGAATTACTATATGGGGGATGAATTACTATGGGGGATGAATTACTATATGGGGGATGTATTACTATGGGGGATGAATTACTATATGGGGGATGAATTACTATATGGGGGATGAATTACTATGGGGGATGAATTACTATGTGGGATGAATTACTATGGGGGATGAATACTATATGGGGGATGAATTACTATATGGGGGATGAATGAATTACTATGGGGGATGAATTACTATATGGGGGATGAATTACTATATATATATGGGGGATGAATTACTATGAGGGATGAATTACTATGGGGGATGAATTACTATATGGGGGATGAATTACTATGGGGGATGAATTACTATATGGGGGATGAATTACTATGGGGGATGAATTACTATATGGGGGATGAATTACTATGGGGGATGAATTACTATGAGGGATGAATTACTATGGGGGATGAATTACTATATGGGGGATGAATTACTATGGGGGATGAATTACTATATGGGGGATGAATTACTATGGGGGATGAATTTTCATACCGTTTGTTACAACATATCTTTGCAAGCAATCCTTTTCGAGGATGCTGGACATAAAGACGAAGAAAAGGAACAGACTTTGTTGCGAAAATGACATGAGAGTGGCACTTGCCAAGGTAATGCCGCGCATTTCTGAACTGGCCTCTGAAAGACAACAGCAGAAGTCACACTGATTTGCGGTAAATATTCATTATTTTGTTTTTGTGTGAAAATCATGTTTTTAATGGTTTTGTTCTTTGTTCTTAATGGTTTTGTTCATTTTGTGCACCTAT